ACGTTACTATACACTCTGACACTAATAACTTCAGTTATTAACTCAAGCAACTTAACACTTCACAACTCTTAACAATATTCACTATCTAAATCGTATAACAGCCAAGCTTAAACTCAAAACTAATAATTAATACCGGCCTTTATATATCCGTAAATCTATTCATGTAAAATCCAAAAGAAACGCGATAATCCGATGCCCGAATAAAGCAGAACTTACTAGATTTTTACTGGAATTTGGGTATGTATTCTGGATAACGTGGCCAAACCACAGCGCGAGGCGCATCGTAATAATACTCATTTACACTATTAGCCTTTTGCAGATAATTAGCTGAAATATCTAAAATATTTTTATTAAATTTCAACTCAGGATTTAAAAAATATATACAGGGTGTTCATTTTAAAACTTACCACACCTATTATCTCGAAGTTAAAAATTTTCGAAAAAATCCCTAAAACACGTCAACTATAATTTGAAGAGGGATGAGTTTTTATGCAAAATTCACCACCCCCCTTTCAACTTCCCAGCCCCCAGAGCCACCCTCTAGAAAATCTTAACGGCGAAGGGGCGTCAAGTGATACATCATCTTAGAGGGTTTTTAATTCCATACATTTTGGTACTAAATTTTAGTCCCTAAGTTCAACTGTTTTGGAAATATTGACAGTTGAAAATTGACTTTTTTGCAACTTTGACAGGCTGTAAAACCTAAACGGTTACTTTTAGAGGTAAACGGATGTCACATTCTTGTCTCAGATTTTTATAAACTATTATTTGACAGCCACTTTGAATCTAATCCATGATCAAATATTCCGATTAAAAATTTAATCTCCGGCGAAATTCAAAGTTGGTGTCAAATGATAGTTTATGAGAATCTAAGATAAGAATGTAAGATTGGTTTTCCTCGAAAATTAACCGTTTAGGTTTTACAGCCTGTCGAAGTCGCAAAAAAGTAAATTTTCAACTGTCAATATTTCCAAAACAGTTGAAACCGTTGGCATTTATTCATTCCCTACATGTATATGGCACCTAGCACAATCCCATTGGTCAGATTTAAAATTTGAACCAATTAAACTTCGAGTGCCATACGGGCGTAGGGAATGTAAATCAGTGCCATATGCACTTACGGATTGTGATATGCGTTATGCGCGTGCGAAATCACGTCTCCACCTGCCAAATATCCTGTTTTATTTTTGTGATTATTGTGATTGTCGATTGTCGGTCTTACATATAGGTATTTCTATGGAGTTTGACGTTGCGTCCTTTCTTTCGATTTTCTTAGAAATATTTTGAATAAGAAATTGGCAGTTATTATTGCTTCGTCGACATTATTTGATTCAGATCTCTTGTGGTTTATTTGGGTGTTTGAAATCGCCTGAAAAATATAGAGCAAACCTAATGACTGAAAATGACGCCAGACGATGGGTGGAAGAATTTGTGTCTTTGATTATATTATTCAATACACATATACAGGGTGACAATTTGAAAACGAGCAATCGGGAATATCGCTTAGACAAAAAATACTATCAGGAAGATCTCAAATACGTATCGGGATTGGAGGGGGAACCAAAATGAGGCACTTTTTGAATCACCCTGCCTCACCCCTTAGGGGGTAGCTACCCTAACTGATTTTTTTTAATACGAACCTACCTTGTGATGCACATCGTTCGATAGCCAGTTGCTATCCCTTTACAGTCATATAGCAAAATCTTAAATCAGACGATTGGTTTTTGAGATATCGGTATTTAAAGGGGGTGTGACTCAAAAATGAAAGTTTTAGTGCAAAAATATCTAAGAATAAATATTTAAACCGCATCTTGCTACGATGGTCCGTTTTCGAATTAGGGCGGTTTAAAGTTACAACTTGGTGTTTGTGACGTCACACTTGATTATGAGGGACAGTATTAACACGTGTAAGAATTTTCCAAAACAAAAGAAAATTATCTCCTAGAGCGAATTGCAACCACTCAAATTATAGGGTACAGTTCACTGACGACTGAACGAACAGAAGACTGCGTTTTCGGCGGTTGTGACATCAGAAGTTCCTGCATAATTTATCTTCACCAGGAATTTTCTCGGAGACTATTTTGAATATAGGACTCCGGTTTTCACGAGAGATCATAGAATTTTTTTCTTCATTTAAGTAGCTTAAGTCATTTTTTAGGGTCACACCCCCTTTAAAAGTGAGCATATTTGGAAAACTAGTAATTTTGACTTTCTATTAAACAAAAGAATTCTGTCATAAAAGTCTCAAATACACATCGAGGAACCAAATTTGTTTATTGCCTATCCCCCACCCCTCTTGTTTTGGGGGTTGGCCGCTCCTAATAATTTTTCTGAAATGAGAACCTACTCCGTGTGATAGCTCCTTTGAAAGGTTTCTTATTCGTCTTTAGACATGCACGTGCAGGAAAAAGATAGATAATAGATAATCACATTATTTTGTTTCGCCGATGTGTATTCGAGACTTTTATGACAGAATTTTTTTGTCTATGAGATAGTCTAATTACTAGCTTTCACAATGTGCTTACTTTTGAACACCGATATCTCAAAAACTAATCGTACGATTTGAGATTTTTCTATAGGACTGTAAAGAGAAAGCAACGAGATATCCAACGATGTACAACAAAAGGTAGGTTCGTATTAAAAAAAATAAGCTGTGGTAGCCACCCCCTAAGGGGTGAGGCGGGGTGACTCAAAAAGTGTCTTATTTTGGTTCCCCCTCCAATCCCCCGATACCTATTTGAGATCTTCCTGATAGTATTTTTTGTCTGAGATATTCCCGATTGCTCGTTTTCAAATTGTCACTTTTCGCTTTCGCTTCTACTTTGTGTATATTTTTTTTGCCCACCGAAACTTAGATTAATACACCGCATGTTTGTTATGTTTTAATAATACCTACCTATTAAATACCGTTGTCCATACGCCATACTAGCACCTAATTTGAGATAGAGTTAATGCAGTTTAAAATAGATATAGTTGAAGAATAACTGACTCTTAAGTCGTTTTCAGCTTAACAAAATTTTCTGCTGTAATATGCATGTATATGCATGACATTCCGTAAGTGCATACGGCACTGGTTTACATTCCGTACGCGCATATGGCACTCGATGTTTAATTGGTTTAAATTTTAAATCTGACTAATGGGATTGTGCTAGGTGCCATATACATGTACGGAATGAATAAATGCAAGCCGTTGCTATTCCTAATAGCATTTTATGCCAACAATGGGTAACTTGCGGCAAGAATAAAAAATCTTTAAGGTATTGGAAACAATTCAAGTTTACTTTAAAAAAAAATTGTTCTGCTAACATAGAAAAAAAAAATGCTGGAGAGCAGCAACGATGGGACCATGGAAATAACGTCATGACGGGCAAACATCCCATGTCTAGTTCTAAATTTTATTTTTGAAAATTTTAACATTTCTAATGTCAAATGAACCTTCTTTATAATTTATTTATTTACAAGAATATTACTTTTTTTGACAAATAAATTCACCCAAGGTTTTTTTCTAAACATTATAATAATTTTTTGTGTTTTACCCTGTATAATAGGAACTCTTTTGTTCATATATTTTACATTTGGGTTGTCGACTAATATGTATATGTATAAATAAAAGCAGTCGCCTTAATTAATATAACTTTGTATTCAAGATATGAATTTTGTCCCAATTCGCCTATGAGACGCAACACTGTTGCGTCAGCCAGACAAACATATAGGGTGATTCAAATTCGATGCTCTCCATTGGAATCTCGGAAATGGTAAGAGATACGAGGTCTGTCAAAAAAAGGCAAAGTTGCGCAATTTCTTGCTCAACAAAATGCCGCTTCGAAATTCGAGAACTTCCGAAGACTTCCGGAGATAATAATGAAAAAACCGAAATATTGCAAAATCGTTTTTATTTTTTCCTGGGCTAGATCATATTTCAAAATAAATTCCACCTCTTTGTAGCAAGTTTTTCCCATCTACCCGATAGTGTAGATGTTTCGTCTTTGGCCGACCATCATCAACTTTATTTTTTTAATACGGACATGTATTATTTATTTAATTGTTTGGAGCCATTTTTACACATTGAAGCACTGACTTATCATACCCATCGATAAATTATAATTTTCCAGAAAAATATTGCATCTAAATCCACACGTCTTTCTTCCACACAGGTCATAAGCCTTTTCTGTCTGACACGTTTACTTATGTAAATAGTTCATAGATCATTCGTTTTTGTTTTGGACAGTTATACTCTTCAACTGTATTTTGATATAGTTTTCTATTTAATAAACGAATTAGAATTATAAAAACGCAAAAACTACCTATATCTGAATAAAAAAAATCATTATGCTGGTGCGGCTTTCAAGAACTCAAGATTAATGATGTAATTGGGAGCGTAGGTATATTATGGTAATTGAGCCTCGATTAAAAAAAATCTAAAATAGTAAAATCTGGGGCCTTAACCAAAACATTAATCGAGGAAATTGCAAAACGAGAGGCGGTGCTCCATCATGTTGAAACCTTAGTTGAAAACAAAGTGTACCCTATTAACTTTGATAATCCGAACCACTTGAAAGTCAGCATAAGAAATGCATTCCGCGTTCCACAATCCGGAGAGATATCCAAAGAGCTTAGCAAAAAACGATGATCTTTGTGAACATTCAGAATAGGTAGTATTTTTTTTGAGCTAGTTATTTGAATTTTTCTATTAGATTAGGTAATTTTTTATGTTTCCACGTTAAACACCAACTGAAGGGCGTCGTAGCCAGTACAAACATCCTGTATCAGTTATTTTGTTAGGTTAATTTTAGTGTCTAAAAACAACAATCCTTATAGCCTCAATAATTAAACTTTAAAGAAATTTTCGATATTTTTTGGACATCAATTAATATTTTTCAATCTTTCCCCACTCTCATTTTGGTTTGTAATTGAGAAATAACTACATATTGGTACGAAAAACAATTATGTTGATAACATTTTTATTGTATATCGCAGCCTTATTTCCTATGTCACACTTAGTCTAATCTCATTTTTATCTTATTACAATCTCATGTTGATTCAGCCCAAATACAAAGCACTAAGGTATTGCTTGCAAGGGGTTTCATAACTACCGAAGTTATGGTAAAAAATTGTTTGAGTGCATTTGTTTTACGTTAAATGTGTTTAAAAAATTAGGTATGACATAAATTACAATCTAATTATTATTATAAACCATGCTATGGATTTTGTGCGTGCTTCCCTTGGTGGGAAGCTACTCTGTGGGATATCAGTGTCCAGAATTTTGTTATTGTGATAGTGATAATATCAGCTGTCAATACGCTGATCTAACAGAACTACCTAATAATATTTACACAGGGGTAAGTAACCACTTTACATGAGACAACAAGAAGTGGCTTTCAGAAGTTCCCTATTTTTATAGATATACAAAAAGGAAATTTAGTGTACAAAGTATTAGTTTATTTCCACTTCCGGTTTGGCCAAAAATCACCCTCACATTCTAATTTCAAATGAGGCACTCATCAGTATTTTTTTCCAAGCTTTTTTCTTATTTTAATAAGAAATTACACTCTAAGTACAACAGCCCATTTCTCACTAATCCAAATTAGGTAACTCTCAAATATTTAATTTTTCTCAAATATTTAATTTTTTTTTTTTAAATTTTTGAAATGGGTATAATAAATAATATGTTGAAATAGATAATTTTCAATCAAGTAAATAACCACCAAAAAATGAGTAGGTAGGTATAATTTGTTCTACCTAATCTACAAAATCCAAAATTCTATTTATTACGTTTAGTCATTTTGCTCAAATCGATGGAATTGTTAGTGCAAAATGAATACGAACATCTTTTTATCGATCGGCTAGGTATACCTGTTATTTTCAAAGAAAATGCAAAAAATTGCTAATATCTTAAAATTCGGAAAAACTCTTAAAGTTGTTTTATTCCCAGTTCTCTACCCATTTACGGTTTTGGACAACTTTGAACAACCTGAATTGTTTCACGTTTCCTGAGAATTTTCTCAAAGCAACAAGATTTCGGCTCATTAAAATTCAATCTAACCTGGACTTAACCGGTTTGAATATAATAATATCATCTGTTAGTGAAAACATTTCAAAATTAGATATTCTGGAAAATTTCTAAATTGGTTAGATTATGTCAAAGTTGATGCAAAGTTGCTATAGTTTCACCGTTTCATGCCAAATTTAACATTATTAATTTTCATCGCACAACAGAATGGTATTTAAGTTTAAAAATTCAATAGTAATGTTGAATTTTCATCAATATGGGAGGAGAAGAACCCCCCCCCCCCAAAAAAAACAGTTTATTTTAAAAATAAAAGATATAGCTAGGTGAGGTCGAGGTACTTTCTGTTGTCAGTACGCTTTATAGTGGCAGATCCTCTGTTGTTCAAATTAATCCGGACTCCTATAATGATGGAAAACCATCATTAACTTTTAACAAGAGTTTTACGTCGAACTTACATTTTTATTGTGAAGCTAATGCTCATGACATGAGCATTACCTACATTGTAGGTACCTTGTCTTCTTGACGTTAAAATCCTGACCTTATAACTGGCTGATTTCTGCCAAACATTTGACCAGCGTTGGTAGCCTCTCCAAACCGTCCGCGAAAATAATTGTGCCGTCTAAATATTTTATGTTATTTAGACGTTCACCATTAATGAGAAGTTAATGATTTCGTCTGAATCGATATTGAAAACAGGGAAGACAGTGCACATCTCTGTCTAACGCCACGTTGTATTTTCCTTTGTTAGCTCATCTCCCACTCTAATGGCACCAGGGCTGGGACTCTGTAACGGATAGAGATCGTTATCCCTATCGCTATGGCACTTGCTGTCTTCTTCTCTCTTTTCGAAATCAATAGAGAGGGGACGTCAATAGAGATAGAGAAAATATCTCTATTCGTTACAGAGCCCCAGCCCAGTTGGATTATAATATAATTTGTTGATGATTCTGATGTCTTTATCATCCAAGCTGATGTTCGTTAGTATTGCCATTCGTTTTTCATATTTGAGTGAATGCTTTGCTCTAATCAATGAAACATATATACATACAAAGGACAGTTAACATCTCTTCAGCGCTGGAGTACCCTGGACTGCAAAAAAGGGCCTCTCATGTGCCTAGTTAGTCCATCACGGAAGCCGAATTGTTCTCGGGAAATGTGTGCTTCACATTCTGGAGCTATTATTTGGTGAATGACTTTTGAAAAGATTTCCAAGATGTGGCTCATGAAACTTATTATGCTTCTATGGTCTTCACAATTTCTTGCCCGACTACTTTCTGAGTGAAAGTAGTCGGGCCCTGTCGCTTTGCCATTGGCTCTCTTAATTGCTCCTCTCACTTCGTCGTTCGTTATGAACGGTCCTGAATTACACTCCATGTTGAATAGAGTATGCTCCCACCGTCTTTGAACGCGTTTTCCAATTCCAACAAACCGTTCCGTTTTCGTCAGTTAGGCATCCGGCCGCTTCTTTAAGCTTTTTATGAAGATTAAAGGTATCATTTTTCTTTATTCCAACAACTCCAATTCCCTACACTGTGTTATGACAGTTATGGGCCACTGTTTCTTCACTTCTGTAATAGCATTTTTGCCATTTTTCGTGTCTCCATCTTGTATGCAATTCTTCGTTTTCCTTTAGCTTCCTCCTCTGCTCGATCATCATCAGTATTTCATGAAGTACCGAAAGAGTTGAAAATAAGCTACTTAAAAACAATATATTAAAAAAAAAAGTTATATAGACTAGAATAGAAAACGAGTACATACAAGAAATCCATACAAGTCCATACGCCAATCTAGACACAGATTAGCTATCATTCTTGGTAACGTCATTCAGTTTCCTATGATCTGCAAAAAGCTGATGCTACCATGATTCTTGACGACTAGCAATAGATGAGGTGATCTAGGGCTGCACGAGTCTTTAATAACTCATTTTTTCACATTTTATTTGCTGTCGACTGCACTTCATTTTGTTCGGTTATAGGTCGCTGCCGGTTAGGTTTAGCATTTCCAGTATTTATGTCGTGACTAATGATTTGGGTTTTGCAGGAACTGCCATCTCCAAAAACATACTAGATTTTAAAAATCAATTGAGGATTGAATGATGATTCCCAGATTCCCCCTAACAACTGACCACCAAGTTTCCAGATTTGTATGCGTAATCTCAGTTAATCTTGACAGAACTGGACAAAATACTTGCTGCCGGGTATAGGAATGTCATCTTTTGCTTTGATTATGATTTTGTTGCAAGCTTTTCTTCTGGTTTGTAGCGGTATACAAATTCAACAGACCTCTCAGAATAGTTTCCCAGCCTTCCTTTTCGCTATTTTTGATAATTGTGCAAAATTCTCCTAATATCGTGTACGAATTATTATGCTCGAATGCATTCGAAGTTACGACTCGAGGGCTTCTCTGCTGTTCTAGGTACCTTAGCGTCCAACAATTATTGGGCAGCTAGTACCAACTCTACTCATTGATATTTTTCAGTATAGCGCTATGGTAAACTGAGATAATTGGATTGGAATGGGTGATTGCCATACATTCCTGGATAGTTTCGGCAAATTTCTGCTTCGATAGCTTGGAACTGCTATACCTTTAACGTTGATCTCCATTGCCTCTTTGATGCTGTGATGTGTAATTCGTAGTCATGACAAGGATCGTCTGAAGTAGATCCAAAGCAGAATCATCCAATGCTACTCCTAGTTGTGACCATACCCTCTTCACTTCATCCGTTTTCAGTTGACGCAGCTTTGAGTTGCCGCTGGTTCATGACCATCAGATGTTGGTGGTTTTATAGTAAATGTCCAGCATCTATGATCCATTCATTAAGTCCATGACATTTTGATGTTTCTACTTTCAATTTAAACTCCTTCATCTCTTATTGAATGCTTTCGTGCAGTTCTTGTTTCGTGTCAAGCATTTTCTGTTCTTTTACAATATCGTCTCGTAAGCCATTCTCGTTGCATTTTGTTAGCTCCACTTCCTCCAGGTCCTGCTCTTCTTGTTTTTCTTTAGACCAAATCTACTTTTGTTTGCAACATTTTTTTGAATTTTGTTACTCTATGTTTATTTTAATATTGCTTTTGTAGGTAAGTCCTTTGCTAATCACCTATTTTTTTTCCCCGTGCATTAGCTTGCAGATGAATTAGATGCTATATCTACCAATCCACCTACAAACGGAAAAACTTCTAGTGCACGAGCTACGTAAATCAGGGTGTTCAGTGGCGAATTAACATAATGTTTCCCAACATTATTATACCATAAAGCTTTTTTTAAAATCGCTTGAATCTATTTTTACAGAGCTATAACAAATACGCAGGTCAATATACATTTTTTTTTAATGAAATCTTGAAAACGTAATTAGGTTGGTCTCACCAACCTTTAAATTCACTGAACAAGCCTTGCCTATATGTGAAATTAACCAAACGAAATCACTGTTGGCGAGTCAACTAACTGAAGTAACTTTTTTTCCGTCTTACAACGACAATTGCGCCTATTCTAACGACAGAATAGGTCTACATTGTAGTCGGCTTACAGTAAAAGGTTGGCACAATGATGATTCCACCACGTAAAGATGACCGGCATGAGTATTGAGGCCGGTTGGACACCGTAATCGGCGTATAAAAATTAATGTTACCTATGGGTTCATTGCCAATAATGGCATGACGCACATTCCCAATTTAAATCATGAAAGAAATATTTGGACGTCGAGGCACAGCACCATATGACGTAGCCGGCTAGGTAGGTAACGTCAGTCAGACGTTGCAGTTTACATCAATTAGATTTGTCTCCTGTGGACTTTTGACCAACGTCGGATCAATGTCGCTAGAAATATCCGAACCTAACAGGATCGGAGTAGGTAGTTAGATTTCGGACAGTTTTCGTTCTTTTCGACATCAGCTGTTTCGGCAATTATTGTTTTTGACCGCCGATCGCCGCCATTATCGCTATTATGAATGTATTTTAAATTTACGACAAATTGCAACTCCTAACTTATTCAAGATCGTTCAACTTAATCGCACCGGCCACAAACCAATAAAAGTGAGAATAGGCTGTGTTCCACACAAACCACTGTAAAACACAAATTCGTCGATACTATTGCCGTTACAGAATCCTGGCTCCATTTCGATATTTCATACACTTTACCGCTCCAATATACGAATAGACTTGATGGACGTCATCCCCATGGAAGTCTCGAGGTTATTCTCGGCTTGCACAATATATTTGGCAACTTCTGGACCTTTCCTGTTGATGCGTATGCGGGTTCGCAGAAAAGTGGAACTACTTACTGTTCCTAACCTAAATTTAAATATTATCTGAAGCAACGATAAAAAAAAA